GTCACATTAATAAATGCTGATTTTTGATTGGTCTAAGTGTGCTTTTTTTCTTTGTGTTGTGTTTTTTTAAATTGATTTGTGATTGGTCTAAGTGTTCTTTTTTCTTTGTGTTGTGTTTTTTTAAATTGCTGGTTTAACTGGATATCACCTTTCATGCCCTGCAAGGTAGAACAAGTTACTGTGTGAAAACCTAAAGCAGATTAACCCCATTTTTTCAACTGTGCTTTCTTGACCACAATCCAGAAAGCTGCAACATAGGATTTTAATGAATATAGTTGTGCTACAAACCACTATTAAATCTCTGCAAACCAATACTAAATGTGACTGAGTTTATGCCTGTGGAGGACAATCTTCAGTCACTCTGGTGGGAGTGATCTTCTGTCACTCTGTATTTCAAAGTCAGCTGCTACTATCCTTAAAAATAAGGCCGGGCTATTTCCAGCTTAAACTAGAAAAATGTAGTAGTAGTGCCACAGGGAGTATGAATTCTGACAAATGGGAAGAAAAGAAGCCTGTGTGGATGCTGCTCTACATGGTACCTTGAAAGAAGGCAGCTTGGTAGGCACCAGGCTGCTGTTTCTTACAGAATTTGCTGAAGCTTGAAAACTTTTGTTTTCTTGTTCATGCATATTAGGATGAGATATCCTTTGTCATTCTTCAAATTTTCTTCATTCTTCAAATGGCTTCTGTAATCTTTTAAATAGCTGTTTGAGGGGGGTTTTAGCAGCTTTTCTGTCAAAAAAAGGCACTTGTGATTTATAATAGGGTCACAGTCCTGCATTTGCATTTACATGTCAATGTTTTGAGTCATCACTTGAAGCATAAACCATATTTTCTATGTTAGTTATGATTATATTTCTGCAAAACAAGCAGATTAGTTAGCTTGTACAAGCATTTGTTTCTCAAAAATACTGGTTTATTGTTAGCTTTATGATGAATGTGCAGTGAAAAAGGAGATTAAGAATGGGGCTGTTTCACCAATGAAATTTTGCTAGAAACTTAATGTGAAACTGGTGGAAGGCAATGGTGCTGAATTTGTGTTAGAGCAGATCTGTGTGCAGTGATGGTACTGCTGCTGTATTTCCAGTTATCTGTTTTCTAAAACTGCTGCAAAATTGCACGTGTGTTGCTTCTTGTCTACACTGCATTGCCGTTGTCCTCTAACAGTAGCAGTGGCACTTACTCCTTAAACAGTGTTTAAATCTGTAAAACGCTAAGTGACTAATCATCCTTGTGCAGAGTTAGGAACTATCACAACTTTATATTTGGAAACTGGGACACAGAAATGGTGACATGCTGAAGCTATACCGGAAACCTCTGGCAGTGGCAGAGACTACTAGTCACAGTTGTAATTCAAGACTGATCCTTTCCGATAGGTGCATAGCTCGTCGCTCGGAACCAAATTTGGCTTATTGTTTCTGTGTAGAGTCATTCACATGTGCTTCTTGGGATTTTTTATTTAAGCCACCTGTAAAGTGAAAAACTGTAACGACTGCCTCCAGGAAAATGTGGGTTCTGCTTTGGGTGTTTTAAAGAAAGTTTGGGATGTAGCTTGGTACCTCTAGACACAGGGAAAATACTACTGAAAAGATGGTAACAAAAAAGAAGCAAAGTTGGAGAAGTAGATATGGCAGTAGAAGGAATCTAAGAAGCAGAAAGCTCTTACATGTAGAAATTTTAGGGAGGGATGCTTTGGAATATTTTCTAATTGTAAAATACTGTTTAAACTCTGCTTTGTAAAGTTAAATTTAAAAGTGGGCTTTGCCTTCTTGGTGAGAAATGGGTAAAAGCAGAACAACAGTTAAAAATTACTTTTTTCAGTTGGCTCATGGAAATGATGAAGCTTAGTTTTGGTGTCAAAAATATTTTTCCGATTAAATATTTTTTAGAATTGTTGGTCTTGATTACTAAGCTGAGAAGGAAAGTAGGTTTGTATTTATACTGCTGAGTGGGAAGCTTTAAATAAAAAAGCTCCTCCCTTTCCTTGAACTGAAGTGCTTCTGTGCTCCAAATATCGCAGCCCACGTGCCTCTGCTTGTTCAGTTTCCAGTTATTCCAGTTTGCCTGTTGTCGGTTTCAGGAGGAGGTGCGTTTTAAAGTTACACAGAGAATTCTCTGCTCCCTTGCTGCAGAAGGCCTGTCCTCTTTGCTCTGTGTGAAGTAGGTCTGGTGGTGCCACTGCTTCAGGTTTGCCCAGGTTCTTCCACAACACCTCTCACTGTGCTGAAGCAAAGAGCTTGACTACAAACTTTACTTTTCTGACCGTAGTACCCAACAGAAGCAGATACTAGAGTGTGTGCCACCTCAGCTCTTTTTGCTTTCTGAATTTAGTGGGTGAGTTATTTGCTCTGTGGGTGAAATGCTGAGTGGTGTATCCTGTGTTCCTAAAATTACTTGTATTTTGAACTGCTTTGTTTAGCACAGTCAGGGCTTTTATCACAGAAGTGTTTTGGGCCAGACAAAACTTTTGCCCTTTAGTTTATGAAGGTCACTGCTTGTTTGTTATCTAGAACAGTTCAAGTAGTTAAAGGGAATAACTGTGTTAGACATGTATTTTGAAATAAACGGAGTCTGGGATATTGAAACTCATTTTTTTCAGCTTGTAAATTAATTTTAATATTACCAGAGGGGTTTTTTTTGCACAATTTTTTCATTGGAACTTACTAAATTTAATTTGTCTTACATTTGCAATCCTACTTATATTTACTTTTCCTCATTGAATTACTGCCATACTCTAATTTTCCTGCTGTGTTAAAATACCCTTTTTTAACCTGACTACTAATTTCTTGTTTCTCTCAAGCTAGTAGTACCTTTTGAAGAGCTCTCTAGTCTAATGCACATACCTCTGACAGTCCACTTTATGCTGATCTTTTCTTGCCCTTGTTTTCACACTACACAATTTCATAATATTCATAAACTTCATGAAGAGTCTTTTCATAGTTCTTAGTCCTTGTGATAGTTTAAAATAAAATGGGACCCACATCATCTTCCACGATTAAATCAAATAATCCAGTAATAACTACAACAACATTAAAATAGTAATATATATGTCTAAATCTGTTGCTACAGCTTACTTTAAGGGACATGATATCTTTTTTTCTCCCAGATTTTGGAAATGATTGATTGAATTGAAAATACATTTAGATGAGAAGTAAGCCTGACTAACTAAACCTGCTATAGTTGTTAAATGGAACAAAAACTCACTCTGAAAATTAAAAAAGCTTTCTATTGGAAACTTCTTTTACATTTCTTGTTTACCTTTCAATGCATAACAGAAATCTAATGTAGCAAATTTTTCTGGAGGGTGCTGAGCAACATATGGGCCTAATAAGTGATATTTTGTGGCAGGAAATAAGTCTATCACAGTGACCCCCAAAGATAACTGGAGAGTGTAGAGAAGTGCATTCTAAATGGGTTTGCTGTGATCATCTGGAAAGAGCTGTTACCCATGCTTCTAAATAACAGCAGCAGCGAAATGAGCTTTAATATTAACTGCATTGTGCCATGGCTTATCAAAACTGTACCATTTCATTCTTGATTCCAGTGTAAAACTGAAATCTTTGTCATCGAAAAGTTCATCAGAATTAGCATGTCTAGGGAGGGGAAATCTGGGACTACATTTTCTTGGTGTTTTGGGGAAAGGGGATTGACGTGGGGTTTTCTTTTTGGCTTTTTTTGGTTGGTTGGTTTTGATTTGGGGTTTTTGAATGTATGAACTTCCACATGTTGAAGTGTTACTGTTTTCTGTGTTTGTAGGAGCTATTGTCTTCCCAAACAAGGTGTTTGAGTTACAGGGAACATAAATTATTTTCCTCATTTTGTGTTGGCTTGCACTTAATAAATTTTTATAAAGTGCTGAACTTGAGAAACTTAGAGGATGTACATTAGTATCTTCCTAGACAAGAGTTAGCTGTCTGGTCCTAATATGCATGTGTTCCCAGCATAATAGGTATGCCTGGCTTTCTTAGATGCCTGACAAAATTCTTGGTTTAGTGGCTTGCATAGACTTGCAGGAAAAAAACTTTGTGTGCAACTGTTAATATATGGAAGAGGGTCTGAAGGTTTTGCATTTTCTCATGACTTCCAGATACCTTGACAACTGCAGATTTATAGAAGCTCTTGAAGCCATTTTTAGATTCAAAAGAGAGCAGGGAAGAAGGAAGATAGCTGTTACATACTTTAACTGTGAAAGTGCAAATTTAATTTTAAAAGACACAAGCTAATAACTTGTGGAGCATTAAAAGAAATTAATGCAGAGCTTCTTTGATTGGTCACAGTGGTATTGTTACTGCAGACGGAATCCTCCATCTGAAGTTTCTGTTTCCATTCCCTCTGTGATGGGGGAGGGAGGGAGGGAACTGTTCCTGCAGCTCAGTTACTTAGAATTTTAAAGGCATAGTTGTCTTAAATGTGAAATGTAAAATTAAAAATAGAGATATTTTGCCTGATTCCAGCGTTTGTCAGCCTCTTGAATATTCCTCTCTTTTAATCAATGTAAGGTATATCTTTGCTGGAGGTAGTGGGTGAAGTGGAACTGAGTTTCTGTGGGATTTTTCTTTCTGTTCTGAATTTTAATGTTAGATGTTTCACACACAGTGCTTCCTGTTTCATGAAGACTCATCAATAGCTTTCTCCTTCCAATTCAGGCTTCTCCAGCTAAGACTGAATTCTTTAAAATCTTGATCAGAAAGGGGTTAGACTTTGCCCACTTGAGGCTTTGTGTCCTGCTCTCCTTCCTTCAGCAGGGGTGTCTTTACAGTAGTGACATGTGTTTGGAAAAGCACAGTCATTGTAGCTGTTCACCTTCATAGCTGATTTCGGTGCTCCTTGTCTTTTACAGATATTTTTGATACCAGTCTAGTGTTTCTAGTAGTTGTTAATTGCACATTCTTCTGTGTTTGTGTATGGAATAAACTGTTAAAGCTTTTTCTAGGCGTGAAAATGACTCTGTTCATCCACATTCCTTCACTGAACAGTACTTTCGTGCTTTTTTCCTAAAGGAACTTAGTGACTTAGCCCGTGATCCTCCAGCACAGTGTTCAGCAAAAAAAGACAGTAAGTAATCTTAAGTTTTCTGTTCTGCTCTGCTAACTCCAAGCATATCATGCATAGATAATAATGCGGAGTTTTTCTTTTGTAGTGTTTCATTGGCAAGCCACAATTATGGGACCTGTAAGTATTCTAATTCTTGTGACGTAATACTAAACCAGTAGCTCTTACTGAGGAGAAAACTGGGGGAGTTTTGGGTTTGTTTTTTTTAACACTCTTTATCCAAATTTAGTTCTAGAGGTGCTCTTCACGGAAACAGAAAATGAGGAAGAGGAAAAAATGAGTTATTTTCTTGTTTCAGGGTTTTATGAGGATGCGTATTTCAGCTGAAATGATCTTTAGGACAGTGTTAGGTATTATCATGTAGAAACTAGAAACCTGTTTGCATTTAACTTTTTCTAAAATTTGAATCTAGCCTGAACTTTGGTACTAGGAGTTTGTCCCAGTGTCAGGAATTATTTGGGATGTTTTTGTATGGATCTTAGAACAGGGAATCCTTATTTGGGCTGGTGTTACGTGCTGAGATCTGCTAGATACTGCTAGGAATAGAAGGGGGGAAAAATTACTGAAACGTGAGGTTTCAGTTATGACTGGAGGAAAAAAGTCTGTGTTAAATATTCAGTAAGCATCTGAAACCTGAATGTGACTTTTTCCTCGTTAAGGAAGCCAAATGTTTGCCTTTACTGAAAACATAACCTGGAAACACTTGACATCCGGAGTTCTCAGGGCTGGTTATCTGTAGTTAGGAAACAAAACCTTCTGTAACTTGAGAAGGCAAAGAGTGGATTCTAGTAGAGCTACAGCCACAATGTGATGCTTCTGGTGAGGCTACAAAGTTGGAACTAAATATCAGAGATGCTGAATGGCCCTGATTTTTATGTATAGCTGCAGGCATGTTATCAGGAGATCACTATGGAAAGTGTGCTTATTAGAGGTTGAGTTGACTGGAAAAATGTCTCTTCATCCCAAAGTAAATGGTCCTCATTGGTTGTAACTAGGTACCTCAAAAAGACAGAATTGTTCAATAGCTATAGTCGTGCTTAAATGGCAAGGAGTGTTTTCTACTGCAGTGTGTGTGAATATTCTGTATGGCTGATGCCTGCATGGTCATGAGGTATTAAACATCAGTCGAATTTAAACTTGGATTATTATTTTTAGCTTCCCCTTCTGGTTTAATAATCTACAGCTCTTTTTTTCCCTGTGTGGTTTTCGTGGTTTCAAAAGGACCTGCATTCCCAAGACTGGGCAGTATCCTGACAGAAGGATGGTGTTAGTAGTTCTAGTGCTTCTGTGATGCTGTTTAATGCCTTTAGTAACAGACAAGGGTTGTAGAACTAATCATCTGGTCTTCCACCTCTGCAGTAGGATATTATACTGGTGGTGATGTGCTTAGAGAGGTGTAAGAGAGCTTGCATTGCTTTAACACATTCTGAGAGGAGCTTCTGTAGTTGCTGAAATGTATCCCCAGAATATGTGCAGTAAAATGTTTGGATTTTGGCTCCTCAGGGCCTCACATGGTATCTCAGGTGGGTTTTTTTTGGTTGGGTTTTCGTTGGGATCTTTTGGGTTTTTTTTCAAGGAACGAGGAGTTATCTGTATGTTCTTAAGTTTTCCACAGGGCTGAGCAATGCCTAAGCCACGTACAGGAGGGAATGGGGGACCCTTAGAGATGTCTGTGGCTGCTCTAGACTTGGGTGATCACAACAAATAAGCTCCAAACACAGAACTGGAGGGATTTGAATCTGACAGGACCCTCAGTCTGTTAACATTACTTCTTGGAGCTATCTCAGAAGCTTTTTTATGCTTTTGCCAAGTAGTTCTGAGTGGATGGTCAGAGAAGCTGGTTTTTATGAAGCCATGGCTTGGAGAGGTTCACACAGAAAGTGACTTGTATGTGTTCTGTGTCTTAGGAAGTAGTAATTGAATTTTAATTGTATTTCTTTTGTGTTGGTGGATTAAACAGTTCAGTTGTTTGGAAAGATTTTGTCTTTTTTATTTATTTAAAAACAAGATCTTCAGTGATATTTAGTCCCTAAAGACGATAATAGGAGAATTGTTTGTTTGCTTTGACAGAATGACAGTCCATATCAGGGTGGTGTATTCTTCCTGACAATTCACTTTCCTACAGACTACCCGTTCAAACCACCTAAGGTAAGTATTGCTTTCTCATCTGTGGCATTAGTGCTTTTTAAAGAACCAGTACAGGACAGAAATTGTCAGCCTCTGTCTTGTAATATTGTCAAGTTTTCATGCATTCTCACAGTATGTTAGATGGCTGGGTCCCCTTCTGACTACTGCAGTAAAGGATGTGTTAGCATGCACTTTATGAGCAATTCTATCTGTGTGAATTCTAAATGTCTTGGAGTTACATTTGGGTTTGTTTCTGGTTTTCTTAGTTGATAGGAAAACTCATTAGCTGAGGGGACTGTCAAGTAATAATGTAGCTGTTTGAATTGGTCTCTAGGAATGTGACACCATGGGTAGGGATTAACTTGCTGAGTGCCTAAAATCAGTGAAGAGGGTGTCTTTTGGAATTTGACAGTAATTGTGAAATATGCTCTTTTTTTGGTAGCTTTATCGGCCGCTAGCTTTGTTTTCCAATTTTCAGTCCACATGAAAGTGCACCCTTGGAGTCACTGCAATGTTTGAAGTTCTTCAGCTCCTTGACAGCAGTGTTACTGTGGCTCAGGCACTTGTGTTGAGTGTGTTCATCACAATGCAGGCAGCTGTGATTAAAAAACAGCCTCATACTTGCCCTCTCTCTGAAACAGTGCCTGGTAATGGGAGACTGAGAGCTTGTGGCCTGGGTGCATTTCCCTGAATTCAGTGCAGTCTCACTGCTTGATCCTTTTCTTTTAGAGTAAATTGAGTTCACTAATAGCTTGACTGGGGGGAAAGAATGTCCTCACAGACACAAACACACTTCGGTTTTTGTTGTTTTGTTTGTTTGTTTGTTGCAGGTTGCATTTACAACAAGAATCTATCATCCAAATATTAACAGTAATGGCAGCATTTGTCTTGATATTCTAAGATCACAGTGGTCTCCCGCTTTAACTATTTCTAAAGGTAACTTTTGTGAAGAAATGTTTGTCTTGTATTGAATACTGTGCTTTTAGCTTTGATAGTCTTGAATTTTCACCCAACTCTTTGATTTCCCTTACTCATTCAAGCCTGTGTTTTGCCAGTTTGATAGTGATGCCTTACTGCATATTTAATGGTAATTGTTTTTCTTAACATCTTCTGCTACATGGCCGTTTAAACCCTTGTCTTGCCACTTCCTTGCTTCAGTATTCTTAGTGGAGTTTGCTAGCTGGGTCCCAGAGGAATCTGCCAGCATTTGGATTGAAACAGGCCTGTGGTGGTGTATTCGAGCTAAGGCTGAGAAACTGCTAATTTGTAGCTGTCCATGTAGATACACACGTGCATGTTAAATTAAAGATTAATTGAAAGTCAGTTTTTAATAATGAAATCTGCATAATTTTTTGAGTCTGTCTAGAATTACGTTGCAGAGTTCTATTGGCATATCTGTGGTAGATGAATAAAACTGCTACTGATACATGTTGCTTTCTGCCACTGGGCACTGGCGTTGCATACATTGCTTCATGAACTAAGCTTACTGGTTCTACTTCAGGATAAATTGATGTTGTGTTGCAATAGAAGATTTTCAGCTTTTTCATTTTACTATAGTAAATAACAGATAATTTTCAAATATTTCTATGGTTATCAAACTGTTTTGCCTCAAAGCCACTGGTCACTGTGGCTTCAAAAGATCCATCAAAGTGCTCTTTTGTCTGGAGAACTTGTAATTCCTGTCTGTCCAAGAACCCAGTTTGTGATTTGAATGTGGATTCTCTACACTTTTGCGCTTCGCTATTTTCTTTTGAAGCTGCTGTAAAAGATGAAGTCCTCATACTTGTCTACAACACTGTTACTCCTGGTTCTGCTTACGGTTTTGTCAGTGCAGACCAGGGTATTGTTACCTTACATCCAACAGATAAAGAATTCAGTCTGATTTAAACCCAAGCAATTTAAATTGGAAGATTTTCTGGTTTTAGTGATGAAAACCATGGTCATCAGAGTACATAATGTGCTTTCATTGGCTGCCACGTTACGTCACAGTGCAGGGGACAGCAGTGTTGTTCTTGTGTGCTTACTGACAGCTCTAAATATTGGGAAATAGGAAACAAATAGTTCTTACAAACTTTGAAGTTACTCTGGGCTTTTTACTTAGAGTTACAAATTTATTTTGGCTGTTTATGAGGAAAACACCGTTTTAGGTCTTCTCCTGTGCTGACATTGTACTAGTGCAAAGATCTGTGCATTGTTGTTTCTGAGATTGTTGCTCTTGTTTTGCTATTGAGAATGCTGACTTTTTTTTTTTCAGTTCTCTTATCCATTTGCTCACTGTTATGTGATCCAAATCCAGATGATCCACTAGTGCCAGAGATTGCACGTATCTATAAAACAGACAGAGACAAGTAAGTACAGAGTTGCACAAGACCAGTTTTTAACAAACTTTATAAGAGTGCATTGTCAGACACTGTTGTGTTCAGTGAGCCTTTTGTGAAAATCTGAGATGGAGAGAACTTGTGTGTCAGAGAAGTAACTATTCTTGGTAGTGCATAATTTAAAAACAAAGGAACAAATCTTTGAAGTTGTGGGTGAAGGAGACTTTTTCTCATGAGTGTGGAAGTATTTTACAGTATGTATTGCCCAGTTTTTTTGCTTAGCATGCATAAATAAGAGTATGGTTAGGGTCTTCATAATAAAGAATAGATAGCTGTGTTGTTTTGGTGCTTTCCTTTGGCAGCAGCTTAGCCTTTAATTGTGATGCTCACCTTGAAAAGAGGGTGCAGAACTTTTTTCCTCTGTTGGAACAACCTTATTTTCTTTAGGTATCTTTAACATTTTGCAAAGTAGACTTTGGATTTCTATATATGTTAATGCTAAATATATTTGTCCAATTAGGTACAATAGGTTAGCAAGAGAGTGGACAGAGAAATACGCTATGCTGTAGGGTAAGAATATCTGCACATTATGGTGCACTTAACAAAATGGAAATATGTCAGCACTTGGGTGCTGCATGCTTTAAGGCACTGGATTAACTAACAGATAATGGATGCACCAGTTACTGAACCTGGAAATTTAACAGCCTGATCTGTGGTTAGTGTGAAATGTATTGGCTAGTCACTATTTCTCACAGATATTGCTCTTGCATGGCCAAAAAAAAAGTTAGTATGGAATAATTACTGAGTTTTGAACCTGCTCTTGCATGGCCAAAAAAAAAAGTATGGAATAATTACTGAGTTTTGAACCATCTTGTCAACTTGTTCTGGTAAGTATTTACCCAGATTTTGTCAGAATTTAGTTCAGAACGATGCCCTGCAGCAAGACTTCATGCATAGACTTGGGTGAATTTAGATAATCCAAATTTCAGCTTTTTGGTTTTCCGCAGAATTTGTCTTCCACATAGAAAGCAGGAAAATGTATGGGGATTCTGCTTGTATAGTTGAAAATTAACTTCTTACTGACAAGCATGGAGTTAAGTATAAACTAATTGTCAGCTAGTTCCTGTGGAAGTATTGTGCTTAAATATTCTTTTCTTGTCCTTTTAAAAGTTGTTTGTGCACTATATTCATTTGTATTAAATGTGAAAAAATGCTTAGTGTTGTTTTTCTCTAAAATGGGAAATTTGACATTCTGTATCCAATGTTATTATTAACCAAGTAATCTTTACTTACGGCATGTGATACACTATGATCTTTACCTAAGAACAATAGTTAAACAAAGTAGTCCCCTTGTTTCTTCTAGCAAATTTTCTTACTATGATCTTTACCTAAGAACAATATTTAAACAAAATACTCCCCTTGTTTCTTCTAGCAAATTTTCTCGTCTTGAATTTGAAGTTTTTTGTACAAATATATATTTATATACTAGTTGTTCAGTTTTTTCAGTTCAAGTACATCTTAGTACAGAAAGAGACTTCTTGTACTGTAAAGAGAATAGGGAAATGGGGATAAAGTGATACTTAATCATAAACTGTTCGGGAAATTGTCATTTTCATGCTGATACTAATTCAATTCCTGTTTTTCTTTGTAGGTACAACAGAATATCTCGGGAATGGACTCAGAAGTATGCCATGTGATGCTACCTTAAAGTCAGAATAACCTGCATTATAGCTGGAATAAACTTTAAATTACTGTTCCTTTTTTGATTTTCTTATCCGGCTGCTCCCCTATCAGACCTCATCTTTTTTATTTTTTTGTTTACCTCCTTCCATTCATGCACATGCTCATCTGAGAAGACTTTAGTTCTTCCAGCTTTGGACAATAACTGCTTTTAGAATCTGTAAAGTAGTTACACAAGAACAATTGCCCAAGATTCCGACTTTTTTTTAATGGAGCATGTGTATTATGTGGCCAATGTCTTCATTCTAACTTGGTTATGAGATTAAAAACAAACATTCCTCACTGCTCTAACAGATACTGAAGATATCACTTGAAGGGGGGAGGGGAGATGGATGTTCTGTTTTCTCCCATGAAAGAAGTAAACATTGCTGTAGCAACATCCATCTTGTTCCAAACCTTCCAGTGTTAGAGAACTGAGGTTTTATTATATACTTTTGCTCATAACTGATGTGTCTGGAGAATTGGTACTGAATCTATAGCATCAGCAGAACAGAAAATGTGATGTATCTTATGCATGTCAATAAAGGAATGACCAGTTCTTGTTTTACAGAGAATGGAAATTGGAAGTCAAACATCCCTTGTATTCCAAAATAGGGTCTAAACATTTTTGTAATTCATTTAAATTTTGTTAGGAGGCTTTGGAGCTATTAGTTAATCTGTCTTCCAAAACACTGTTTAATATAGCACTGAATAAATGATGCAAGTTGTCAATGGATGAGTGATCAACTAATAGCTCTACTAGTAATTGATTTATTTTCTTCAATAAAGTTGCATAAACCAATGAGTTAGCTGCCTGGATTAATCAATATGGGAAACAAAGTCTTTTGTAAAAGCAAAGCTGGTTTTTGTATATACTGTTGGGATTTGCCTCATTGTTTAACATCAAATAATGATGTAAAGTTCAATAGAGTGAATCTTTTGCCATTTTCAGTTATAATGCTCAGTCTGTTGCAGGTTGACACATTGCTCAGCCTGATGTATGCAGAATTAATAAGCTAACATAGTAGTGTAGCTGTAGTAGTGTGCTACACGTGGTGCTGGGAGCCCAGCGTTCAAGGATGGACTTGGGACCTGGCAGATCTGAAGTGGTGTATCGTGGAGATACTTCCTGATGCACCTGTGTTTGCTGACTGAGAACCTTTTTCTTCACCTTGTACACTTGACAGCTGAAAGATCTTAATGTGGGAGTAATAATGAGGCAAAAAAAAATATATAAAATTAAGTACTGTTTTGATGTGGGAATTGTCCTGAGGCTGTGTTGAAGTGACTTTACTATGTGGGATGTTCGTTACCATTGAAAAGGACTTGTTCAGCCATGCTGCCATTTACATTGATGACTATTTTAATGCAACCGACACTTTCTTCATGTCAGGTGACTAAACGTGAATAAAGACTCATTGCTATTGGATTTTTGTTCTACAAGAAACATTGTCTTGTGCCATTAGTTTATCTTTGCAGCAACAAGGGCATTATTAAACATCCGACTCTTCCTGCCCTCTTCCTTCATATTTTTCCTTGTTTAATTCTTTTGGTCTCCATTCTTAACATCCATAGCTTCATTTTCTCTAGTCTTGTACTATCACTTTATTGTGCATCTGTGACTTCTCACTGGCACCACTTTTGCACTGCTTATAGTTATGTACATTCTGATTCCTTGTCTCCACATGGATGTGGAAAGCTAGATGTAAAATAAATGTTAAACCTTAATTTTTATAAAAATTTGAACATGTAGTTTGGACATGGTTTGTTCTGGTTCTAAACTCTGAAAGGGAACTTATTTTCCAGTCTAGTTGGCTTGAAGTTTAGAAACCTGGGCTCTCTTTAACAGCAATGAAGATATTCTGAAATTTATGAAGTTGCAGTTCGTGCAGTATTTCTGCTTTTTTAACCAGAGATTTTTGCTTATACCATTTTTGCCAGGAAATTGGAATACAGCTGCCAGTAGCAATACAACTGAGGTAAAAGTTTTTATTTCTTACAAACATGTTGCTCTCAGTTTGGGTTTTTTTTTTGGTAATTGTGTTGATTTGATGCCTGTTCCTTTGTTGTGTAGTCACAGCCACTGAAATCATTTAGACAATCAACTGGAAAGGTGTTTTGTGAGATGTGAGGCACCAGGCTTTAGAAAACTCAATGAGGTGTGGATGATGGAGCACCAGGGAAGGAGAAGATAGTAAAATATTACATGGAGAATGGAAATCTGGTTTGGACCACTACCTTTTTCTTTTTGCATCTGTCATGGTCCCTCCGTGATAATTTTTTGTAATTAGAAAGTATATATTTTGATGAAAGAATGAGGGTGAATTGTAGATGTTACATATGCATGCTGAAGGTCATGCCAAGATGTAAAATCTTCTCTCTGTGAAGTAGGAGATGACAGGTGTTCTGCCCTTGAAGTAGTCTCAGTAGTGCCTTGTGCAGGCTTCCTGCAGGAGTTTTGTTTGGACTTGCTGTTCAAGCAGGGGGTTGAGGGGAGGAACTGATTAACAGGAGCTAATGAGGTGATGTCGAAGAATTCTAAAACTTTTACCAAAACAAAAAGCTTAGTTAGTGATTACCTCAATGACTAATATACCTATCAAGACCACAGATTGTCTAAAAAGTACATAGTGGATCTCAACTACTATGGAGCATGTAGAGGGGGGAAAACACCTTCCAATTTGAACTTCATGTGAAAAAATGAAGGCTTTGGAAAAGTGAGTTGTCCCATACTGCTCTGGTAAAAGATTTATTTCAGGATGATAAATGTAATAATAGCTTCAGAACACCGGGGCCAGCTCCATCTGAATAGTATTGGAATAAACAAAATCTATCTTTCCTTTGTTTTAATGACTTTTATTTGAAAATAAGAGTATTTATAGAGAACAAAGTGTTGAGCCAAGGCACTTAGATTTAACAGACATGTAGCAGGGAAAGAAACTTCAGTGTTGTTTCTGGAATAATTTTTTAACGATTTCTTGCTATGTTTAATTAGGGTTTGAATTTAACAACATGTTTACGGTCATCTTATTCAAGTTTGACTTGAAAAACTTTCAGTAGTTTGAAGCACAAGAAAGTCTTTTTAGGATTCAGGGAAAACTTGATCTGTAGCATTGATTAGGGATTGTTTTTCTTTCTCTGTCTTCAGATGCACACAACACCATCTGTATTGGCTGGAAAAATGAGTATATGCACGTTTTTGCATGTGTGAGTGAAAACTACTCAGTTTGCTCTGTGCCATAGTTTTCATATGAAGATTACAGATGCTAAGTCTGGCTTTAAGCAGACCACAGCAGTATGATTGCTATGGAGGCATGGGACTACAGCGTGACAAATGATTAAAAGATAGCTAGGTAGCAGATAGGTGTGCAGATGTATGATACCAGTCCTATTAGATCGGATAGTTGCTTATGCAAAAAGGAATTAGCATTAATTAACAGGTAACTTAATGGTTTAAACATTCACAGCCAGAAATGCACTAAATAACTTTTTTTATTATTCTTTCCTGCAGCTTCCCCTCAGCTGTTTGCTCTATAGCCATTTTATTTCAAATCTTTCATTGCTATAAAGAATAGTATTTTAACAGGCATTATCACCAGAAGCAGGTACCATAGGTCCATCAAATGTAACTAATGCTTCAGAAGAAATCTTCAGTCTGCAAGTCCCTGACAAAACTTAAGGCATAGTAGAAGTTGGAATTCAGCTGAAGATTCCTTGCTGTGTTTATAGTTGTTCAAAGCAGTTTTCAATTCAGTTGGTTTTCGCTGATTTGTGTATAGTTCTATACATGAAAACTAGGCTAAGACAACCATCTCTGTTAGATAAATTAAACAAATTGGCACTAGAACAATGGAATGAGATATATTGTGATTAATAAAGGATCTTAAGATATAAAGGTTATTTTACTAGAACACAGACTATATTCATTCCTTCAAACCTGAAAACAAAAAAATGCTACCCACAAGATTAGTTTGCTTTATGCTCTTTGGTTCTTGGTGTCATGGAATGCATGGTATTTTACCCCAGTGCCTTCAATATAAATATAAAAAGGCATAAATATATAGGTTTAAAAGGAAGCTTTTAAAAGGAAGCTGAAATTATGTCTAAAATATTTTCAGTGTAAGGCTTGTATATTGATGACAGTGCAGGACCAGTGCAGAGAAAGCATAGTTTGCTTTATGCTCTTTGGTTCTTGGTGTCATGGAATGCATGGTATTTTACCCCAGTGCCTTCAATATAAATATAAAAAGGCATAAATATATAGGTTTAAAAGGAAGCTTTTAAAAGGAAGCTGAAATTATGTCTAAAATATTTTCAGTGTAAGGCTTGTATATTGATGACAGTGCAGGACCAGTGCAGAGAAAGCATCGCAGGAAAGAAAAGGCATAAATATATAGGCAGTTGTTGCACATTTTAAAAGGAAGCTGAAATTATGTCTAAAATATTTTCAGTGTAAGGCTTGTATATTGATGACAGTGCAGGACCAGTGCAGAGAAAGCATCGTAACACAGGAAACAAAACTGGGTAAATATGATGTAAAGAGAAGGTAAAGATAGGCTGCCCATACTGTGGTAACGCAGGAAACAAAACTGGGTGAATATGATGTAAAGGGAAGGTAAAGATAGGCTGCCCATACTGTGTTGAGGTGGAAATGTGTTGCTGTCAGTTCATGCAGTCCTAGTGTAAAACCAGATGGTTTCAAAATAATCTGGAATAAGACAGCTGATAAGTTGTAGTTTCATGTGTCTAGGTTAGCCTGACAGAGAATAGTTCAGGCATGGCCTTGGGAAAAGCAGTTCAGAGTGCAGACAGATGAGCTCTCAGGTGTACACAGAACAGTTCCTAAATTGGGGCTTGTGATTGTTTAGCTGGTGCTCATAAACTGACTTACTGTTCTTAGTTAATACAGCAGTAAATTCTGCAGTAACGTTGGTCGCCAGTGCATTTAGAAACAAACACTTAAGTCTTCTGCAGGGGCAGTTCAAAGCTGGCAGTAACGTTGGTCGCCGGTGCATTTAGAAGCAAACACTCAAGTCTTCTGCAGGGGCAGTTCAAAGCTGTCAGCTTTTATTTTCTCCTTTGCAGTGGTTTGTTTAATGTCAATCAGTTCTGGGGGAAAGAACAACACTAATGACTGTAACTATTTCTAGAGCAGCTGTCTGCCTTCCGTAGGTTAAAGGAGGTGACACACATAATCTTTACAGTGATAGGTACCAGAAATGAAACTGAATTTGATCGGACAGCTCTGCATGATGTAATACTTGAAAAATTCTCTGGCAAATATACTTGTTTGCCCAAAATAGCTTTTTGGGGGGGCTGTGTATTGGAAGCACTGGTGAGCTCTCTGGCAAACATACTTGTTTGCCCGAAATAGCTTTTCTGGGGGGGGCTGTGTATTGGAAGCACTGGTGAGATCTCAGTATCTTCATCAAACAGTGAAGGTTTGTGAGAGGAAAAAGCTTCCTTGGGAGACACATAGTGTTGATCAGAAGATGTTTTATAACACTTTTAACTGATCTTTGATCTGGGGTTGCACCTGTACTCTGGGAGAGTAGCTGCTCTCTAAATGGCTGCTGTTGAGATTGGTTCCCCTTCAGGAGCTTCAAGCAGAAATACTCCAGCTCTGTACTTAAGAATCCTGTTTTGCAAATCATCTAGCTAATTCTGGCTTTTGCCTTAATTTCATTAATCTTCATGTTATCTGTATGTTGTCCCATCACAGACTTAACGTGTGCAGAGTATGATCAGTTGCTCAGAAGATGGTGATACAACTTTGTCCCCATGGGAGGAATGCTAGCTAGAGAGCTTTGCCCTAGCTCCTTGGCATACTAAGGTTGTGGAGACAGAAATAATAAATGCCTTTATCTGGGATAGGAATTCTGACTGAAGTTTAATTTCTCAGATGTCATGTTTCGTTAGAGAGAATGCACAAACTAAGCTGTTTCCTGTGTTTTGAAGAGCTGCCTAACTGGTAATGTTCTTGTCTTAGAAAACATTGACACTGAATATGGTAGTTTCAGCTGTGTTGAGGAAAAGAGAAGCCTGTGCTTGTTTATAAATCAAGCCTGTTTTGCTTTTTTCCCCCCTCTGGCCAGGTAAGCCTCAGCACTTCTTACCTCACAGTATTTGATGCTAGTCTAAAAAGAAACTGTTCATATGATCAAGAGTCCTGTTTGTTTTGGGTTTGTTTTGGTTTTGCTTTGGGGGTGTGTGTTTTTTTAAAGAATGTTCTGGAACACAGCTTTCTACTGACCATACGACTCAGATTCTCTTGTCATCTAAGTGAGGAACTGCAGTTTGCAACCTTATGTACAGAACTATAACCCCCTTCCTCCTGGCAAATTTGTGAAGGTAAATAGTGAGGATCTATTCTAGGATGTGTCTCAGAATCACTGTTTTAGTGCAAATGATGTGAATTTTCGTAGTCTGAACTATTTATTTATAAACTGGGAAAGAAGTAATAAAAAGCGATCTATTTGGATTAAGTATAAATGATATGAGAAAACTCAAGCTTTGAGAAAATGCAGGGAACCCTGAAACATAGTTTTGCACATAATACTCTTTCCAATACTGGTAAGACTGTCGTAGGAAACTGTTCCAACTTTCCAGAATGGAAGCATGAAAACACAGGTTTGTGGAAAACCACTGGCCAGTCTATATCTACATGGCATCTTACTGTTTACACATACATTATGTTGGGCTTTATAGGGTGGGGTGGGGTGGCCTCAGGCCTTCCCTGA